ATTCCTTTGTCTTTTAGAAGAGTAACCACTACTGGTTTACTTTTTTGGTTGAGCTTCATTTGTGTTCCAGGGGATGAGTGGGACTCGGGTCTGTGACCCTGAGCAGCCAGCCTCTGATGTGATTCTCTCTACACAAGCAAGCAGAGTATTTAGTGCCAAATACTTCTGTCTCCCCTTATCTGTCCTGCGTGTTCAAAGGCCGCAGGAAGTAAATGGTTTGACATGGCATCTTTTTTTTTCCATTCATTGCAGATAAACTTTGACATTCTCAGTAGCTGTATTTGCCCTGACATGATACCATGTTGTCAGTGTAAAACCAAATACTGACATAGAGCTTATGTCCAGTGTTGATCTTAGTCCAGTATTGCAGAAGTCTCCAGTCTGGAGAATACCAATGGTTGCAAGTTTTCTGATGAGAACGTGTTGGGTTCTTTTTAAATTCAGAAATGATGACTCACAGAAACTCAAACTTTATCTTGTGGGAATGTACCAGTTCTGCTGTAAAACACATTCAGGGGAAGGCTTCCTAGGTCTGGGAATGAAATTTGGGTCAGAGAAGTCAGGCACTTCAGCAGAACCAGCCGTGTCCTGGGTACGACATTCACCAGTGACTGCAGAGACCTTGACACCGTTTCTGGGTTTGACAGCAAACTCTTGACCTCCTGCCTCCTGAGCAACTGCTGACTCCCTGTCTGCTGGCTGGAAGAGGAATGATTTCTCTCTGCCATGTTCTTGCATAAAAGATTTGGAAAATACTTGGCTCTATCCTGATACAGAGCAGAAAAAAATTATGAAAATGCTTGTGGGATAAAGATCGTTTTCTTCTCAGATGTCCTGAACATCTTTTCTTGGCAGCATCAAGAGAAGCGTGGCCAGCAGGTCGAGGGAGGGGATTCTGCCCCTCTACTCCGCTCTGGTGAGACCTCACCTGGAGTACTGCGTCCAGCTCTGGAGCCCTCAGCACAAGAAGGACATGGAACTGTTGGAGCGGGTCCAGAGGAGGGCCACAAAAATGATCCGAGGGCTGGAGCACCTCTCCTATGAGGACAGGCTGAGGGAGTTGGGCTTGTTCAGCCTGGAGAAGAGAAGGCTGCGGGGAGACCTGATTACAGCCTTTCAGTATCTAAAGGGGTCCTATAGGAAAGATGCAGGTTGGACGGGGCTCTGAGCAACCTGATCTAGTTAGCGGTGTCCCTGCTCACTGCAGGGGGGTTGGACTAGATGACCTCTAGGGGTCCCTTCCAACCCAAAACATTCTATGATTCTACAAAATATATAAAGACTTTTTTTTTTTTTAAATTTGTGCTAGTGCACAATTTAGTAATAAAAGAGTAATGACCAAACGTTTTCACCAGCAGCCTCACCACTTACCGGGGAGCGGCTCTGCCAGCGCTCCATTCCCACATCTGTGTGTCCCCAGCAGCCATGCCCAGGTTTGCCAGTATCTGTAGAGCCATCTATGGTGTAGCATCAGCCAGGGGAGCTGCTCCGAGCTCAGATGACCTGGTTATTTTTAATCCAGGTACTTCCTCTTGCCATGTGACGGCACGCATGCTTGTGCTGGCACAACTGCTGGGATGGCACGGGGACAGGAACAAGCCACAGGAGGTGAGGGAAGGCTGCCAAAACCAAGTTCATCCAGAGATGTCCTCAGTTTTTTCTTGTGCAACATTAATAACAGTTGTTTGTCACAGAAAAACATGAAATCCTTGGAAGAAAATAGCAGTTTAACAGCTTATGCAGTCATAAAGCTGCTCATTAAGATTTTTTTCAAGGATTTGTCAGTGTGCTTGAGTAGACGTAGTCCAATAATTACTTATTTTGAATATTTTCCTGCCAGCTGTTCATCAAGATATGAATCAGTTGGTTAGTTATGGGTGAAGTTTTCATTAGGATTTAAGCTCCTTAGATGCTTCTGAAAATGTTTCCTTCTATCCTGCTGTCTAATCTGCTATCAGCATAGCAGAAATCCCATTAATTAAGGACTAAGCCCTTTTATAATCTTCTTCCTAGACTGCAGAATGCATTTACAGTTACTGTTCATTGAGCTGAGTCCAGTGCAAGGCTGCTGCTGGCCATCTGGAGCATCAGCCGCTGCACGCATGGGAGTGGGACGCGCTCAGGCTTTGCCTAGGAAGGATGAAATTGTCCCGTAAGAGCAGGGATATCCCACACCAGCTAGCATTCAAGCTTCAGCTGTGGGACGGTGTCAGCTACTTAATAAGACTTGTGCCACTCTGTGTGCTCCTTGAATAATAAAAAAAAAAAAAAGGTTTGACATCAAGAAAGCGTCCTACATGTCAAGTCTGCCTTCTGTGCTGCTAATACGCCATTAATACACATTGTGTCTGGTGAATAATAAGAATCATAGAATCATAGAATCATAGAATCATAGAATGTTTAGGGTTGGAAGGGACCACTAGTGGTCATCTAGTCCAACCCCCCTACAGTGAGCAGGGACACTGCTAACTAGATCAGATTGCTCAGAGCCCCATCCAACCTGGCCTTGGTAACTAGAAGGTAACTGAAGGTGGTGAGTTGGGTGTGCTATGATGAGTTGATGAGTTCCGTATCAGTATCCAATTCTAAACCTGGTGTGTGATTTGTAAAGGGCTGTGAGGGCTGGGCTTTCAGGAAGGGCATTGAAACTTGTAGGCATGAGCTAAATAAGTAATGTAAGAGCATAAAGTGAAAGAAACCCCAAGGATGTCTGCACTGTAAGGTTTTATACACTACAGAGACCAACCAAATGCAAATGGCAGAAGACTGTGACTCATCAAAGCCTTGCTGACACAGGGGACTGCTAATCCAGAAGCTGTAGGGTCTGGTGGTCCGTACCCCACGCTCCCTGCAGCCGAGGATGCCTCCAGGGCCTCAGGGGCTGCATGCACTTGCTTGCTTTCCTCTTGGATATCCTGTCTGGTAGTGCATATCATGCCATTTGAACATGCCTTCCTCTTTTCTTCCCAGGGAATGGCTTTTACACTTGAAGAGAGGCTGCAGCTGGGAATTCACGGCCTCCTTCCTCCTTGCTTCTTGAGTCAAGACGTTCAAGTCCTTCGTGTTATGAAAAACTACGAGAACAAATCTAATGATCTAGACAAGTATGTAAACCCCATGCTATTTCCTCCTCCCTCCTCCTTTAATTTTCAGTTCTTTAAAGCCCCTGGGAAGGCTTGAGGACCCTGCTTCAAGGCACACAGGTTTCCTTCAGAGTCACTTTTTTCCACCTCCCCATACTCTCCAGCAGTTTTTATTCTGGCCTGTGTGCAGTCAACCCAGTCCCAAAATAGATTAGTACTGCTTTTTTTCTACCACCATGTTGCTGGAGAGCTCTGGTATGAGCCTGGCAATTCACTGCACTTTGGGTACAAGTAGCAATGAGAAGGCAGTCCCTGCCCCAGAACACTGGAAGTAAAGTGAACATATGTAGTGCATGTACCTATTGTATGCTCATCAGTACATTCACCAAAATACTGGCTGGAAGAACAGAAAGAACCTGCCAACTGGTAGGAAAAAAAATATAAAAACCAGAAGCAATGATGCACAATGTCTCATCTTTCTGTTTCTGAGCTTGCATTGCGTCCAGTATTGTTCATCAGGGTTATTGATGGAGGATGGTGTTTGACTCCTGTCGTGAGGGACGGTAGGGTTTGCATCTCCATCTGTCTCAGTTGTTGTTGATCTGGGGACTGAGGCAGCAGGACTCTTCCCCTGCAGAGCAGTTCCATTGCATTGGCTTTTCTGTGTCACGAATGCATGTGTTGGTCTTGCGAATTGTGTATTGTGGGCAGCGTGCGATGCCTTTTTGAAGCTGAAAAGACCAGGCGCTGAACACAAAAGGGAGTTCATCATTATGTTCGCACAAGTTTCTCAGACAGAAAATCAATTGCAATCTCTCTTCACTTTTTGAGTTTTTCTTTTTTCTGGCTTTAGTTTGACAAATTCAACCTTAGCCAATGAAGCATTTTCAAGAAAGGAAAATCACTGGACAAACGTAACATATTCTAAGTCACTAAGCGGTCATATAAACCCGGTGATGCACATGTAAGTCTGGACAACACTAAGAATACAAAACTGATTCAACATTTTCATTTTCTAAATTAATATTCTTGTCTTTTTTTTTTTTTCAAATATGGGATTTAACTATCCTTCTGTGTTTAGTGATTAAGTAATTGAGAATGTGGGATAGTGTAGAGAGATTTTGTGGAAATATTTTAGGAAAGACAATGCTTTGAAATTTGCATATTGATATTTGCATATATGCATATTTCAGCTTACAGATTGCATAACAGATTTTGATAAAAAAGCTGAAGTCCTGCTCTGTCCCAGGTAGCCCTGAAGTCTACTTTTGACCTTTTCCACTGCATTTGTTTCTAATGCAAATTCTGAAATTCTGAGGGTGCTCACGGGTCTGACTTCCAGCTCTACCAAATCTTTGTGAGCTGTCGATGAGGATGGTGGAGCCGGTCAGGTCCTCTGGGAAACTTTGCTCCAAGTATCTGCTCACAAGGTAGCACTGAGAAGTGTCAGGGCGTGGGAGAAGTGAGTATGTACTGAGTGAGCCCACTACTGCTTTTTATGAAACTGCAGACACCCATAAATACTGATTTATTTCTACTTTATTTTACTTCTAAGGTATATTGTTCTTATGACATTACAAGACAGGAATGAGAAGCTTTTCTATCGAGTGCTGACCTCCGACATCGAGAGATTCATGCCCATCGTTTACACCCCAACGGTTGGCCTCGCTTGTCAGCAGTATGGTTTGGCTTTCAGGAGACCACGGTGAGTGAAGAGGCTGTTCTTGCCCCCTTTTTTTTAATTTCATGTGAATGTTTCTTTTGTATCGACAGCCCATCTTTAGGTGGGTGGCCCGAAACATCTAAAACTTGTTCAAAAGATGGACCAGCAAGCAGCTTCGTGTGTGTACATTTGATGATGAGCTGGGGAGTCGAGACTAGCTCTGCCTTCTTCCTATAAACAGCGAACAGAGTGGTTTTGTTCTCAAACAGTACTGTACAGTCTGTGCAACCCAGCCCCAAATGGCTCGCTGAACTTATGGCTGCACCCCTCCCCATCTGCTGTCTCAGGAGCACCGAGTGCCTTCTGCAGCACTGGCCTTTGAGTAATTGCTGGAGTTTGGATGCGTTGTGCTGATTTTGAACTTTTGTGTGTGCTTCCACAAGCCACCCTGCAAGAATCATTTTCTGAGGAGGTGATGCTCTGCATCAGTGCCTTCCTCGCTGCTCACAACAGCGACTCTGTAAATTCATGCAACATTAAACACTGTGTACCGTGGTGGAAGGCCCTGTTCTGCATCATTCTTTTTAATGATTAATCTTTAGATAAAGCCCTCATTAGCATTCTGAAATACATTTTAGTCCTAGCCTGAAAATTCAATGGTAACGTTCAGTTCTCTTTGCAAGCTTTGTGGGTTTTTGTCCTCGAAATGTACCAGTAGGCAGATAAACACTTCAGCTTTTGCTGTAGAAATATGCAAAGTGCAGGAACAGAATAATACCATTTTAAAAGCATTTCACAAGCGTGAAGTTTAACTGCAGTTTCAGCTGAGAGTAGCGTGATAGGTGAGGAAACTGAGGCAAGTTCTAGTGACTGACTCAGGGTCACAGGGGGACCCTGAGACAGGCCTTGAAGATGTAGGGGCTGTGTAGACAGATAATGAATAACATATTATGGATAAGATTATCTTGGCAAACATGCTTGCATCCTGCTTGTCATCAGAATTTGTAGTAAAGCCGCTGTATTTTTTCACATGAGCTGCTCCTCAGGATTGCTTTTGGGCTTGTGTCTATCCCAGGTAATTGTGTTCTGTTCCCTGATACCCAGTTTCTGGATCTGCTGGGCTATGGTGAAGTTATTCATCTAGTCAAGCCTTGATCATATCCCTTCCTCCTCCTCCTCAGTGTCTATGAGGAAGCCAGAGAAGGAATTGCTCTGTGCACAAGGGGAGGACACTTACTTCTTCTGGGCAGGGGACAAGGTAGGAGAGATAAGAGAGCCCAAACTCTGTCCCCAGGTGTTGAGCTGCGAGC